ATTGTACTTCATACGATTGTACAGAGAGCAGACAGGAAGCGACCAGTCTCGGTCTCGTAACTCTGTCGCCTGCCTCGGTCGCTTGTCTCTGTCGCGTGCAGCCAAATTGTACCTTAAAACATAATAGCACGACAAGGCAGGGTCTACTTCACTAACTGCGGATGGCAAAGGATCAGAGAGAACTTTTGTAACACCAGCCAAACAAATGAAATGAGCATCTCAAAATTCCTGCCACGCGAAAGTCTACTTCTTCAGTTATCTACCACCTCGATCAAAGTACAAAGTGACGGCATGTAAATTTTATCTGTTACTTTGTATGGGTGTAAAACATGGCCTCTCACTCTGAGGGAAGAAGACATATGAAGGATATATGAGAATAAATGTGCCTAGCGAATATTTAGACCAAAGAGAAATGAAGTGAGAAGAATGCGAAGAAAACTTTGTAGGTCCACTCTTCACCAAGAATAATTAGGATGAAGAAATTAAGAATACGATCGACGGAGCATGTAGCACGTATGAGAGACTTGCTACTTTATTCAACTACAAAATCAGCTCTTCAACAATCTTCAGCCTAAAGGAACGTGCTCACATTTACTCCTTACCGCCTGCAACCCTCACTTACATCCTTGGTCAATACTCCACTGTTCCGACATTAATATTATTATTATTTATTATTTATTATTGACTGCAAATGGGTTTATACCCGGTGGCAGTGACCTTCAATAAGACACAACAGAACAACACATCCCACTCAAAATAAAACAACTCATAAGATTACAAAACCATCTAACCTAAAGAACTTAACTTAAAAATTAATACCACCTAGACACAATACAAAAACACACATCCACTAATTAATCACAATACTTAGAGTAGAATATAAAGTCCGCTCTCAGTACATGAAAATTTTATCCCAAAGAACTACAGCCCTTCATCACTTGGAGACTAAGACACTTCACTTCACTTATCACCATTTATTCCCAACTTAATAACCCTTAGCTTGTAACTACTTTTCTGACCCTCTTTCTAAAGGTGCCTAATTTACAGGGGAAAGACTCTAGCACGCCTGGAGGTAATTGGTTCCAGCTTCTTATGGTCCTATTTACAAAGGAATATTTGCCAACATCCGTTCTTTGTTTCCTAGTCCTAATTTTCCGAGTATGATCGTCCCTGCCCAGGTAGCATGGCTTTAATAATCTATCCTCTATCGTTTTCCAAGCCCGGCCCCCCGTGTATGCTTTGAAAACGGCGCACATTCGGGCTATCAATCTACGCTGTGCCAATGTTTCCCAACCAGATTCGTTCGTGAAATTTGCAAATTTAGCCGCTCTCTTCTGCACATTCTCGTTTCTAGAAGGATATTTCCGCAGATGTCGATCATTAATCTCATTCAAAACTCAAACCGTCGCGGTCAAAGGTATTGAATTCGTATGATATTTAACGACGCTTTCTCAATCACACTGATTACACAAAGTCGCGACCCAGCCGTTGAAATTCTTGTTTCGTATCCGAATGGTCCCAAGTTCAAATCTCGGCCCGCAGACCAGCTATCCCTACAGAAGTTTTCGTGGTATTCCCCAGTCTCTCATGGCAAATTCCTCAACCGATTTCTCCCTTATCATTTCCAATTCATCAGACCACACTCAATTTGAAACCCTATTCGATATTATGTAGATTATACTAATGGAAATGCAAATGTAAAATGTAAGCTTTTACTAATGGATTAATTTACAGTAGACAATATATTGCGTATGCAGTATTCGAACGTCTAGACCGAGAAAGAATTCGATATTAAGTAAAATGTTTCGAAATAAACATTTTCTGAACTATTTGTGAATTTTCTCTACATATTCATATGTTAATCTGCTTTAAACTGTAACTGTATGTTCGGTATTATAAAATACCTGTAATTAAAAACGCGTTTAATAAATTTTTAATACAATGACAAATACAATATTTTTATTTTCCGTCTATACACAAACTTAAAATAATGTTGTTTAAAATTATTTAAAATTATAACATTCTCAGTAGACACTGCATCTTGTTACTTAAAATTAAACAAATTAAAATAATCAATAAACGCAACGCAAAATGTACAACAGTTTTTAAAATATATCAAAATTGATAGACCTGATGATGATGTAATACACATCGAAACATGTCGTCGATACAAAAAATGTAACAAGATGCAGCGTCTACTGAGAATGTTATAATTTTAAATAATTTTAAACAACATTATTTTAAGTTTGTGTATAGACGGAAAATAAAAATATTGTATCAATAAAACACAAACATGACGCAATTAAGATATAAACAATGACAAATGTTTAACTCCATTCCTTATCCCGTGTTACGAGACATATGACGAAGTTATACATCACACTCAGTCATGACTATCATTTAGAAATTCTCCTCTCTTCACTTACCAGGGGCCAATAAAACGATTTCAGATTAGCCACTGCCTTAAAACCTGAAGGAAAAACCACGTTGTGGAATCCACGCGTCACGTCGCTCCAACAC